ATGAGGGGAGAGAGAAAAAGAGAAGAAGAAACTATGGTTGAGTTTCGGAGTTTTCATTTCTGCATTTTTGAGATATGGGTTTTGCAATGACTTTGGTTCCTGGGTTTCTGTGATTTTGCAGATTCACGGCGGAGGTGAAAAAATGAAAGAGAACCGACACAACTTTTTGTATCGATTCCCATAGACGGTGTCAAATGTTGATGCACAAAACCGGAGGGGTCTTGGAATAACGTAAATCCGATCGTGAATCTGCAAGAAAGTAAAGAACACAAGATATATCGTGGTTCACCCCAATGTTTGGGCTACGTCCACACTGATGTTGATATTGTTTCACTTTGAATAGTGAATATACAAGAAGGCTAGAGGTAATGTGCTCTCTACCCTATTTTCTGTGTGCTCTCTAACCATGGCCTAAGCCTTGCCCTCAATCTTGGCCTCCCCTTATGAGGAGAGTGAGGAGTCATTTTATAGAATAAGAGCTCCTCACTTATTACATATTTGCCCCCTTCATTTATTACATAATTACATTTGAGTCCCCCGAGTAATTATACGAGATCTAAATACGTAGGACCTAAGTATGGTACAAACAAATCACAATAGAAAAATAATAATTCCCAATTTTTACAAATTCTGTAACATTTTCCCCCAATTTTTCCAATAGCTGCCAAATTCCAAATAAACCCAAGAAACCCAGCTGCAACATATCTAAAAACTATCCATAAAACACACAATTAACAATAATACAAACCAACACACATTCATTGATTCATGCAATTCTACTCAAATAGACAACACAGAAAACAGGAGAGAGTAGGTAGAGAGAGTTACAGAAAATTAAACCCAAATTTGAAGTCGCAAATACGTAAGGCGAAAAGGGTTCTGCCCTTCGAGGGCAAATTGCGGTCGGAGAGACCCATAAATCTAAAAAAAGGGAGACGCAGAAGGGCTCCATTCAAAGAGGGAGGGGGAGGGTAGGTGGAATCAAAGAGGGAAATGAAGGGGGAGGGTGGGTGCAGAGGAGAGAAGGAAGGAAGGGTCTGGGGACTTGGGCCGAGCTTAATCGAATGGTGGTGGTTGTGGAAGAGAAGAAGAAGAAGAAGAGGAATGAAAGTGTCCCCGTGGATGATGGGAAAGAGAGAAGAGAGGAAGTTGAGATTGAGGGATTGAATTGAAAGATTGGGTTTGGGGATGATTTGATCGGAATATTTTGTTGTTTTGATTTGCAAGGGTTCTGGGTTTTTTTTCCTTCTTATCGTTGTTGTTTTTTTTTTTAATTTTTTAAAATTTTAATAAATACTTTTATTATTTTAATATTTTTAATGACACGTGACGCTTAATCATTGTCCACATAGGCGTTATGTCATCAGTTAATGCCAGACTTAATAGTTTGACTAACGGATGTATGAGACTGTCCCAAAATTAAAACTTTAGGTATAACTTTGGGACAAAAAAAACTTGATGTACTAAATATTGAAAACCACGAAACATGAGGGTAGTAAGCAGCCTTTTGCCATTTAATTTTATAACTAGTATAAATTAGTAGGAAATCAGCTAATACCTCAATTTTTTTTATATTGTTAATTAACAATTTAGAAAGGCTTATTATATTAACACCCCACAAATTGTTGAATAAACCCCACATACTTAATACACCCCACATTTACTTTTTCAATTAAAAATTATCTTTATACACCCCACATACCTCTCCATAATACCCTCACACCCCACATTCTCAAAACACACATTATATTTCTATATACACCCCAATTTCTTCAAATTTCATAATACTCATTTTTAATTTTGATGAATTGAATCTAGATACCCTGCTGTTTCTAGGCTAATTACTTATGTGATTGACTTGTTTTTCGTTTCCAGCTTGAGAACATGTTATCATTAATCGATTTGGACGCTTACACTTATCTTAATTTTGTTTTATCTTTGTGTAGATTGGAAAATCTTATGTCACTTCCAAACTCAAGAATTATCCAAACTCAAGATCTTATGTAACTTTTCTATAACAAATGAAATAAAAAATAAAAAGAATTATCGAAAATTTCAAGTTGTTGGCATTGCAATTCACAGAGCTGGTTCAAAGGCATAAGTTCTGAAGTTTTTCGACATAGTAAATGCCAGGATGTGATCAAATGTGTGGTTGGAGAGAAAATAATTTCTTGCAGTCACAGTGATCAATAGCATTGGCATATTCATAAACATTTTGTTAGGGTTTTGTTTGGACCTGATTTTACACTATCGGCCCGAGTGATCAAATCCGTTAAATGAACAGAATTTTAGACCGTTGGATGGATAAAGTGGTTGAAGTAATTTTTAATTATTATTAAGAAATAATATTTTGATAATCATGATATTATCTTCTAGTAATATTTTAAATTATTTTAAACCTAATATTGGTCTAATTCCCAATTTGAATGATGAAGAATTATGAGGATATGCATTTAGGCCTGGCGACAGATAACAACAAACAGAGGTACGAAGGCTATAATTGGCATATATGGTATTGCGTTGGCCACGTGGCACATGCATAATTGGGACTCTTATGCAAATTGGTGTTTAATGGAACGTGGCATCTTAAAGTATTGTAATTAGATTGCATGCATGGTTGCACCAGGACAGGTGCCGTGGGAAAGAAAGCTTTGTAGTTTGCATTGGAGTCTTGGCTACGAATGACAACTTAATGGGATAAAGTAAGGTTTTTTGATGGAGATAAGAAGTCTAGGTGGGCTAGGCTTCTGATGTGATATGGGTTGCCTAGGTGTTTCATCTTGTTTGAAAAGTCAGAACTGCAATCTGAAGGATATGTTTGGCTTATGCCATGGATCAGATTTTGTTCTGCGAATTAGAGTGGTAGTCGGACTCTATACAATTATCTAGCCATGCCAAGCAATAACTAAAACCTATAAATACAGGGGCAGTGGCAACGAAAAAAGGCCCCTCCAATTCAACACACAACTGCCCTGCGTAAATTCTCTCAACAACTTTGAGATTTTTATTTTCTCTTTTCGCTGACACATCTTCCGTTGACACCAACAGCACTGTGAAAGCAACCGGTGATATCTTAAGTCGGCATAGATAGCTCTGTCGCCGTAGAATCAGCCGATCTCGCGGCATCTTCCGTTGGCATCAACAGCACTGCGGCGAGGACAGTTGGTTACCTATCCAAGTCTCGGTCGAGAAGGATTTCCGAATCTTTATTGATTGAGGTCATTTCATTAACCTTCTCGGCGAAATAAGGTGTTACAGTTTACTGAGCTCGGTGCATTGTATGCCGAGTTATTTTATGATTGGATACTCTCAGGTGGGATTTAGAGTTCGGCATTCAGACGGCCGAACCACGTTCATTATTAAGACTTATATTCGCTTTGAGTATTTGTGTCCTTACACTTTGGTGTCGATTCGGCGTGAGTTTACTCTGACAAATAACATAACTGTGACCGAATCCGACGACGGCGATTCGTGAACTTCATAAGAATAGTAGCCTTGTCTTCAGGTTGGAGAACCCAAGAGGCCGAGACGTGTTCCTTCCTCGGTCGCAATCGCAAGACGCAGAAGTCAGCCGCGCACCCAACGCAACATCAACAAATTTACTCCTCGGCCGAGCTCGGCCGACGAGTTGGCATGCCCCGCATTCACCGAATGACGTAGTTAGCTTATAGATTACTCGGCCTGCGCGCCACGTAGGCTTAGTAGTTTTTAGGGTCAACAGGTTTTCTCAATCAATGTGTTTGTAGTTTCATTAGTTAGGATTTTGTTCAACAATGGAAGGTGGGAGGGTTTTGGTAATTGAAGAAGATAAATAATACGTTAAAAGTAATGTGGGGTATATTTGAAAATTTCTTATTTTTTTAAAAAACTTAATAAGGTCAAAATTATCATTGCATAGTAAAATAAATAAGTAATTTAAAATTGAATTTTTTGTGGAGTGCATTCAACAATATGTGGGGTGCTAATAAAAAAGTCTTCAGAAATTGAGAATGATGAAGATTGGTTAAAATCCTTTTTGAATCTTAATTGTCTAGATCCTGCGAATCAGTCAGCAAGTAGCAGCCCCGCTGTAAACGGGGTCGTCCACTTCGTTCTCCCCCTTCCCCGCCATCGCAGATCCATCCACTTGACGTAGTACTTACGGGAATCATTTAGATAGGAATGGGCCCGTTGTAGGAAAATGTACATTCAACAAAAAGATTGAATCACGTGGAACCACTTTTGAATCTACCTCTTTGTCGTTTGCACGATGGAGGATGACTCCTATATATATATATATATATATATATATATACATTATTTATTGTAGCTGTTAAGAATATTAAGCGCTAGTCAGGTGGCCAATAAAGATCTAGCGCATAGACAGCCAAGACAGATTTAAGTATATGTGTAAAATTTTAAGACTTTTTATATGTGTAAATCTTTGGTTGTACAGTTACAGAATGATAACTTCTGTGGAGTCATTTTTTAATGGATGGTCCTCTGCTAATTCCTCTAGTACTCCGGATAGATAGGAATAAATAAATGGTTAAGTCATTTTCATTCAGTCATTTACATTTCCTACTTTGTTTCGATCTTTCATTTCATATATACTTTTCTCATTGAGCTACCATATTTCGCACACGACGTTATCAGTTGCTTTCCACTTAATATTTATAAAATATCAATTACTAGTTAATTGAAGTATTGATAATATAAACAACATATAAATAATCGGTACATTTGTCATCAAGCAGCCTCGTCCACGAGTTTCGCAATAAAAAATAAAAGGTAAAGTGAATAATATCAGGTTTGATTTTTTTAGTGTAAAAATATGATTTTTCGTTAACGTAAACAATACCATAAACTTTTCTTTAAAACTTCCTATTGTATAATGTTGATCAGGTGACTAAGGAGTTCCATGAGAACATATGAATATGATAGATCTTGGATGACACCTGAGTATGTTGCTAAGGCTTTTTAGTTAATGACACCTGTGCTGACCCAATTAAAAATGGGGTTGGTGGGAACAATTTGCAACTGCAAGGATGAAGCCACGTCAAAGATCAAACACAGTGGATCAATTCATGTTAAGTACATGGGGGTTGAAATTGGTTTCTATACAAGTTAGACTTAACCATCAGGTACCTTATCTCTATAAATAGAATTGATTATTTATAGTGATTTAACATTGTGAGAAAGCTCTTCAATTTAACAAACAACTCAAATGCTCTATGCGAAGGCTCTCAAACGCTCGATGTGAAGGCTCTCATTCTCGAAGATTGGACGAGTTGACGACTGTTTGAGGTCCAACGTCGGACCTTCATATATTTGATCGATGAGATAACAGAGATCATCAGAATCTTTGGGCCATACTTGTTGTGATTGACCTTTAGTGAAAAAAGACAAGAAAAAATTGATAGTGATTAAATGAGCATCCATATATCAAGTTCGATCATCGAATTCTCAAATAATTTGTGCTAAAGAATGAAGTTGTACATACCGGGCTGAGGAAAGTTCCAAAGATATGCATTTCGAAAATTACCACGGATATGAGGACAATCAGCTAGAGCTTTAGTAATACTTATGGGTGCAATTACAAATAAAAAAAATTTAATACATGAGAATAAGTAATGTCCAGTAGCATAGCTAGCCATTAACAAGAGGATATGTCAAATAAAAGATTACTAACCCTAGAATGTTGAATGCCAAATCATTATAAGTACGCGCACTCTCCATCTTGTGACTTTTTATCCAATGATCAAGATGGTTGACGAGGCAAGGACATAGTGTTCGAGGTTGAGAGGAGGGGTGATTGTTGCGCTGCTTACCAGATCCTTTCCTTTATCTGGATAAAAGAAGAGAGAAGGCAGCAGCCGTCCCTCTTCTTTACCTTGCAATTGCAGATCCTCTATTCTTTAATTGCATATCGATGTTTATCACTCTCATTCCAGCCAAATTGTTTTGTTTTCTGCAGATCGAAATGTTGGGATGGTCGCCCAGTCTTCCAACTGTTAGAATATGAGCATGAGTATGAATCGGTAAACTTGGTTGTAGGATTAGAGATTGAATAGGAAGTCTTGTTGAGAATGGATTTGCAAATCCATGTTGTAATTGGACTGCTATTTGGAATGAATTGGTATTCCATATGGATTTTAATAGGGGAATCCTTATAGAATTTGGCTAAGATTGTATAGTATATATATGGTGGCCTTTGCTCTCGCACTGTGGACTCAATATAAGACTAAGACCTATTATTAGTTGAGAACCTTGAACACTAAAGATAGGAGAAGGTGCACTGCAACATTGTTACAGAAATCAGACATGGCAATCGGTTCAAGTTCATCTACAGGTACGGTTTTCTCCATACATTGGTTTAATGAACAATGATTTGTGTTTTGATAACAGTAGCTCATATAACTTGTTATTGGTTTATGTTTATTCTAACACCAACCTCATTACCACAGCGGAAGAACGACATCGACTTACCATCAAAGCCGCCTAGTCAGTCGTTGAGGCCTCCTAGCCCGCCCAGTGCCCGTCTAGGCGCCTCCTAATACCCTTTCCGATTTCTTCAACAATTTTGGTTTAATCACAACGGCGAACCACCGCCTAGGCCGCATTTTCAAACACTGGTTAAGAGTTCAAGATTTGTGGGTGTGTGTGTGCGCGCAATTGCTTGTGGCCACGTTATTTGTGAATGAGGATCCTATTCGGATATTTTTTGTGATAATATCAATAATTCTTCAATCGGGTTCATTTATCATATATTTTACGGTTAGAAATTATTTTAAAATTATTATCTAAAATTGAACATAAATAGTACCAAATAAAAATGACTACACAATTTACAATAAACGGATACAATTAAAAAAATCATCTAGATCTTCACAAAAAAAATCCGAAGAGAATCCTCATTTGTTATTTGCGAGGACCGTTGAATCCGAAATGAACGAGTGAAGATCATGTGGGCATGGGGGGCTCGCCTCCACCACCATTCAGATAACAAACAAAATGCATGGCCTTTGGAATAATATCAGCTCCAAAAATTGACAAATCAACTAACACAAGCAAAGATGCCCGCGCTTTGCTGCGGGTTTTGAAACCGTACTCACAATTTAAAACACCCATCTTCTAATAATTTAGAAGCCAATCAAAGCAGTTAAACCCATATTTAAATGGCAGAAATATAGCTTCACTTTGTATGTACGTTCTATTGAATTTACATTAAGAGATTATGTACAACTAAAATGGCAGCTTTCTAAGTACAAATCACAGATAGCTTTCTAAGTACAAATCAGAGTAAATAAACTGTTCCTATCATCAATTTGCACCTGATTATACTAACTTTATATTAACAACCTATGTATAACAAAACTGATTCACATGCTTTACTTCTCAGAACTTCATTTCTTACTTAACTATTCTTGGGGCTCATCACATTCTCCTCGTCCTGCATTCAGAAACACTTTGAAACTTCCTTTTAAAAATGTAAAGACACAAATTTAATCAATTCAATACAAATATATTGAAACACTGAGAAGTAGAAACAATATTGAGACAAAAAGAGTTCATGGAAAGATCAAACAGCGAACAAATCATGATATTTTTTTTTAATTTAGAAAACATACTAACAAATAACAATGAGTACCGACTAAAGCCCTTAAACCATAGTTGTAGAAATAAAGAGAAATACTTTAGAATAAAGTTGAGATAATTACGTAATGAAACAACTGATTAAGAAGCCATTAAATCCAAAATCTAGTCTCTTCTTCAACACCATATTTCAAGCATACATGGCAATTTACAATCATCAAACACAGAAAAGATAAATCCCATATACAAACCCACACCGAAGGGTGCTTAATTTGTCCGAGAGGTATACAATTCTAAGTATTGGGTTTACTTCATATTGTGTGAAATCCTATTTAGAGAATGTGGATAATTGTTGGTCTAATCATTAATAACAACCTCCATGCGATGTGCAAAACACTTTAAACGTTATCAACATAGAGTTGATCAGTAATTAGAATTTAGAATCTTCCGAGTCTGAAAACAAAACCAAATCAAACACTAAAATATACCATCCGAGGTTAGAAACAAAACCCCCAAAATCACAAAAATGAAATTCGAACGCATAACCTATTTTTAAAACATAGTATGCAAAACACAAAATTACCACCCAAATGTAAATCGGGTGAAGAACTAACAGAAGATACAAATTAAAGAGAAGAAATAGGAAGAATAAAGAAAGATGAGTGTGCGTACGGAAGAGAGTGGAGTAGGGGCGGGGAGAGGACTGCCGATTTCAATTTCCCTGAATTGGATGAACCGGTGAAGCAATTCCCCGATCGGACTCCCTGTTTTCCATGGACATCGTGGTTGCAGCTTGGGCTTCTGAGGAAAATTGGTGTGAATTTAACAAACTAAATCACCACAAAATCATCATGGATCTAAATAAAAAATATTGAAACTTTAGTATGCTTTTGCAGAGATCAAAGGGAAGTAGTAAAAAAGAAAGACCCACTTTTCCCCCTACCTTCCCTATGGTACAAGACAAATATACACAGAGGCAAAGAGGGGCTGCGCCACCTGGTGATGGCGGTGGAAACAGGGCTGTGGTAACAACCCTTTTTTATGATCAGTCCCAAATTTTAGTTAATGTACATTGCTTATCAAATTCGTATATATGGATAGCTTGCACGTTGCCATGGGAATGTGAAATAGATTATAAGTATTGTATATAACTGTTAGAATGAGGACTAAATATGTTATAAGCTTTGTGCATATATATACAAAAACTATTTACACCAAACATGCACAACGCAGAAACGCTGATTATGAAAACATGCTTACCTATACGACAAACAAATGTGACGTCAAATGCGTAAAAAAAGAGAATCACATATTTATTCCCAGTTCCCACCGTACTCAAAGAGCTTGACCTAAAATCCAAAGCCAAATCTTCAATTGCAATGAAACAAAGGGCTTATTAGCCATTTGAAAGCTCTTCTATGTGAAGCATTTATACTTTCAAGCGCTTTTGCTAGAAATGTTTTTATTTAAAACATGTTTGAAGTTTCTATCAAAGTCCAAATGCTCCCATAAAAACACATATAAGTTCTTCTTGAAGCATCTGACATTAACAGACCACAAACTGAAAAATGAAAAGTGACTTGTATATGAAATTATGTTCACTAAAAAAACTACACTCTTCAACTTTAAAACGCAGGAAAAATGAATATTTTGATGGAAATTTCAAAGACGATAATTAAACTATAGAGACTAATTATCTACAGAGACATAAGTACAATGCATGCATCCGTAGCTGGCAATCAAGAACGCAAGAAAGAATCTGTTGCAAAGCAGGTAATTAACTTAGTAAATCTGTGCTATCAAGACACAAAAATCAGAGGTTCTTTGTGAGCAATCTTACCTCAAAGCACATCACACAGGTAGGTTCTATAGTATTTGTTCGTCTTAAGGAATATCCAGTGAGGACGTTTCCTGGACAACGAGCACACAGCTCCCCGAGAGGTTGGCGCCGGTTGATGTTGTCTGTCGAGCTTCTGCTTATTGGAGGGCTGTAAGAGAATGACAGAGTTAATTCTAAAAGGTGCCTTTGTGGGACCTTAGGTGTAGGCCTTGAGGCTCACAATCAAAATTAACTTTAAGTACCCAAGCGTGCCACTGCCATCTTTAGCATGACAGATGTAAAACCGATGTTAAGTGTTATTGTGTGTATATATATATATATATATATATATATATATATATATATATATATATATATATATATATATATATCCGAGAAACGCAGTTAGTTATGAAATGTGCCTTTGTGGGGCCTTAAGTGTAGGCCTTGAAGCTTCCCGTCAAAACTAACCAAATACTTGAACATATATTGGTTGTTTCATTGTTGCAGAAGTATCACAACCGTTATACTTTAATTGCCCGAGCCTATAGAGCAGAATGAATTCACATAGGTGCCTTTGTCGGGCCTTAGGTATAGGCCTTGAGGCTTCCTATCAGAGTTAATTCTATACTCAAGCGTTCTGTGGGAATCATGATATAACATAAGTAAAACTAGAGAATAAACCAATTACTTGTGCCTTTGTGGGACCTTAGGTGTAGGCCTTGAGGCTCACAATCAAAATTAACTTTAAGTACCCAAGCGTGCCACTGCCATCTTTAGCATGACAGATGTAAAACCGATGTTAAGTGTTATTGTGTGTGTATATATATATATATATATATATATATATATATATATATATATATATCCGAGAAACCCAGTTAGTTATGAAATGTGCCTTTGTGGGGCCTTAAGTGTAGGCCTTGAAGCTTCCCGTCAAAACTAACCAAATACTTGAACATATATTGGTTGTTTCATTGTTGCAGAAGTATCACAACCGTTATACTTTAATTGCCCGAGCCTATAGAGCAGAATGAATTCACATAGGTGCCTTTGTCGGGCCTTAGGTATAGGCCTTGAGGCTTCCTATCAGAGTTAATTCTATACTCAAGCATTCTGTGAGAATCATGATATAACATAAGTAAAACTAGAGAATAAACCAATTACTTGTGCCCCAAGTAACTTCGGACTTCTTGTTATCAAAGATTGTCGCGGATGGGTTAAGTCCACATAGGGTTCTTTTTATGCCTTGAGACCACGAACTTTTAATTGATCAATCTTGTCTGCCCGAATGGTTAGAACTTAGAAGTCTTTTAATCATAAATTGGCTAGCAATAACTTGGATGCATATGGAAATATACATCATATTACTAGATATATGAATGAAAGACAAAAAACAAAGGAGGTCGGACAAGGTTTCACCTTGTTGGGCAAGGCTGATCGTCTTGCAACTTCCTCTCTTTGTGATTTACAAAGTGTTCAAATGCTAGAGGGGAGATTGGAAGGAGTTTATATGAGGAAATCGATACTACAACAAGATTTAAACAGGGTAGCAGAGCTTTTACAAAGGCTGTCTGGTGAAGGTTGATCCCGAAATGGATGAAGACTGGGGGGCTGACTATAGCTTCGTGAAGGCAAATCTGGTTTGAGCAAAGTTTGTGCTTGTATTTGTTTGTTTGATTGAGTGTCCTTGTCTCTGATTTTTCTTCCTCCTTTTATATACGATTTGGCTTGGCTGCCTGCAGTATTGATTTTGCCGGAATGCATCTGAAGGGTAGTGACTCATCAACTTTTTACTTGTACTGCCATTGTAAAGTACTTTTGGGCTGATTAGCTGGCTGGTCTACACCACTTGACCTTTAGGTAGGTGAGCAGGTGGTTTGAATGATCTGCACTTGGTCGGGAAACAAGCTCCTTCTTTCTTCTGGGCTTCGGCTGGGCCTTGGACTTTTCCTTCTTCTGAACCTTCTTTTGGGCTTTGGGCTAACCCATTTTTAACCCAAAGTTCAAGTTTTATCCCAAATAGTATTATTTATACGCAGAAATGAAATTATACAAATAAGATAATAGCGAATGTAGTATGATTTATTAAATTAAAATCTAGTGTTTCACTCACTCTCTTTCAAATATGCAACCAAATCAACCAAAAATCATATTTTTTTTCTAGCAATAAAAAATAAAAAAGATCAGACCTTTTTAAACCCAGAATAAAACCCATTTACATATATCAGCTTTGTTCCAAACTGAAGATTCAAAATGGAGTAAAAGGAAAATAATGATTGAGCAAGGAAAAGAAAGAATTCTATACCTGAGCAGTGATGTAGAGTGTATACGGATGAAGTATTTTTTTTAGATGAATACCTGTAGGAAAATCGAAACTATATGAGATTACATAGCAGAAAAAAAAAAGACAGAAAAATAGATTAAGAAAAACAATTAAAAATAAACATAGAGGATGAATGATGTTGTCCAATGTACTTAATTTCTCTTATAAAATATAAGACAACTATATAAATTTGTTGACCGTATGAGAGCATCAAATTGGAATAAATTAATACAGCCCTTAATTCTAAGTTGGTAATTTCATTGTCGTCGGTGTAAACTTGATGACATTATGCAATATCAATTTAATTCAATGGGCAATTTGATTTTGCAGATTAAAAAGAATATAATAATACTGAAAGTTACTAAACCCCATCACAACATCCCATCAGTAAAGAACCAAAACCAAATGTAAATTGTAGTTTCTTATAGAGCATATCCAAAAGTAAATCCTCTTTCTCTGAGCATCCAAACAGAGCATTACCAAAACATCAAAAAAAGATTAAAATTTGGATTTAGCAACTATCGGAAGTTAAAATAAATTAAAAAATAATAATAATAAAGAAATAACAATACAGAAAGAACAACAAAATACAACCATAAAAGAACGAAAAGAGTCCAGGGTGCGATTCGGATTGGACGCTTCCTGAAACATTTTTCAGAGCATTAATGAACATCTCCTTAAAAGACATAGTGCGGTATAAATTATGTATAAACATCACTTGGGAATGGGATTTAGTTTATAGGCTAACCTTTCCATAATCAAGAAAAATGATGCGAAAACCAGAAGGTAGAAGAGGTGCATCATCAGCAAAAGAAGCATCGACTGGAGCCAAAAATAGTTGAGCACAGGAACCCAGTACCTACCACATTGTGAGTCCCCAACACTCTCAAATGCATAATTTTTCAACATCTCGAGCCCAGCCCAAAATTTGAAACTAAATTTGTACCAAAAAACATTCAACAGTAAATTATATTCACAATGTCAACCGAAATTAGTAAAGAAGAGCAATATTAGCAAATATCAAGTACCACTCAGACGGAATCCCGTTTTCTATAATCTTCAGCTCCTTTAGGAACCCTTTGATGCCTACACAGATGCTATCCACAGTCATATCGAATCTTTTAATTATTTATGCAGACGAAACTCTCTCCTACCTTCGTGCCTGAAATTCAACATAACAATTAACAATTAATTCCTTCAAAAGCAGAATTATAAAATTAAGAGCTCAAAATAATCTTATTACAAAAATTAAAATAAATAACACCCTTGAACAATGAAATGTGTCTCACTCTCTATAGGTCACGCCGGCAAATGCTAGCCTCTTCCCTCCGACGTCATTTTCGACTGCAATCAACCACCAATCGTACAGACGTACCTTGAAAAATTCAAAAGTATCAAGTGGTCCAACCTCCTCAGAATTTCCAATCCCAAAATCAAAAAATTAATATATTAACATTGTACCTTAACAAACCCACAAATTTGCAGTCAAAGAAAATTAATACAATATCTCCAAAAAATCAAAAGACAGAAAAATCAGAAAATTTTTACTGACAATAAAAAAAAGTAATAATTTTTTAGGTAAAAAAAAAAATTAATATAAGAATTTCTAAAATCATAAAGACATCTGAGATGAAAGGAAATAAATGAAATGCTAAAATCACATAAAAAGTTCATGAAGAATTTTCCAAAACCCAGAAATTTAAACCAAAATTTTTACAAAATCATGAAAATTTTAAATTAATTAAAATGCAAAACATATAAAATTTCATGATCACTTGTTAAGTATCATCATCAATCATGATGCTTAAGCGCTAGAGTATACATACCAGATGCTTGAGATGGTAGACTGAGCAGCCTCACTATCACGAACGTTTTCTGCAAATTGTTTCATCTTCGGCACGGTGAAGGCTGCAAAAGGTCGGTTCCCTCCCACCGGAGCCAGCATTAATCTCAATTTGTTCTACCTGATGTGAGGAGCAACCGTTTGAGACCAACCTTGAGGCCGGCCGCTGCCGGGATTGTCGAAATCGTCGCCGTACGCCACTTTGTATTAAGTGAGTAACAGAGATAAAAGTGAGAGTTAAGAGAGAGAAGGGAGAAAGAACATTTGAGGAGGGTTTGGTTATGGTTGGCTTATGGTTTGAGAGTTTCAGGTTGCAGAGAGAGAGAGAGCGAAGAGCAAGAGTGGAGAGAGTGGGAAGCGAGACGAAACATCCAGAAGGAAGAAAACTCTATAAGTCGGTGAAGACCCACGCGTCACCATCTTCTTCTCACAGCAAAGCAAAGTGGCAATGTTGAAATAACAAAAAAAGAAGCAGGGGTGAAAAAGACAGAACACTATACTTATGAACAGTATTTCTGCTCATTTTCCCTTTTAGTAGATATAATATTTGCTAAATCAACACCATAAAATACAATTCAAAGTTGTTTAAATAGTCTTAGGCTAAGACTCTTAGCAAATCTTAGATGAGAAGTTTGTGAAATGCTTGAATAAAATGAGTGTGGAAATGTATGAAAAAATGTGTGTTAGAGAATAGAATTTTACATATGTTGTATGAAAAAAATAATATCCAATTAGTGTATGAGAGTCTCCTAATATCACCGAGGCATTTGTGATAAAATCTAATACTGAGTTGTGGTTTTCTTTTTTGAACAAACTTAGTGATAGGTGGTTAAGTTGGGACAATATCAACAACATCGGTGATATTAGTGGTGGTCCTGTCAAATTCACCTCATTAAGTTGGGCTAGCTCTGTCTAATGACTTGACCAGTTTTTAATGTGGGAATTGGATTCCTTTGTGATTTCATGTGGAGCCACTCGTGAGGAGGCATGTTGAAGAATATGATCCAACATCGGTCATAAGATAAAATAATATATAATAATATATGAAGTTTCTACCCATAATATTACCGATTTACGGTGCTCAAATCAATTGCAAGAAAGGCTAAAAAGTGACATCCCCATGCATTTTGGCTCTCTTTTTTTCATAAAGCCCTCCATGGGATTGCCCGATGAAGAGAATTGCTATGAGGTCTGAGAATCTTTAATAGTTCCGCTTGGTTTATTGCTGCTGGAGCACAATGCTGGAGGCGTTAAAAGTGGAATAGGTCTTCTCCAATTCATAGTGTTACAATGTGAGACATAGCTAGGGGTGGGTTCGGTACGGTTATCGTACCAAACTTTGGGTTTGGTAAAATTTATTACCATTACCATACCAAACTTTCGGTATACCGAAGTTCGGTATTGCCAAATGTTCGGTTAGCATGGTATGACAATGGTAATTGCCACTTTGTTTGGGGACAAAATTTGTTTTGGCTTTTTTAACCCAATTCAAGGGCAAAACTTTTTTATTGTACCTTTATCTCATACATTGTAGCCTAAATTCATCTATTATTCATCATTCACAATTCACATATACAATAATTCAAATGATGCATCAAGATTCATGATGAAAATTAAGCTTACAATCCAAATAGAAGCTACGAACCAAAACAAATAGAAGTTTTCCCCATGCTAAAGATCTTCTCTATCCCCATTGGTTCAAACACACCTCTAGAACTTTCCCAATGTCTTCTCCCTTATGACCCGTGATCTTTATGAAGTTTATGATCCGTTTGTGCAACTTTCATTCACTATTCATGAAGTGAGCGGTAACTACCATGTAATTAATGTTTTGTACCGATGTCCAAGTATCGGTTGTGATACTTACCCTTTGATTATGCATTGGTTCAAATAACTTAGACTTCTCCAACACATATAAATCCCACACATTGGCCGCAATCTTCTTCCTGTTTGGAATCTTGAACCGAGGTTGAGCCTCTTTCATCATATCAAATTATTAGAATATTATAAATATATGTGTTATATAATTTATAATTTATATATTATATTATATGTTCGGTACGGTAAGGTAATACCGTGGTAATGATATCCATTACCAATACCGTACCATGAAATTTCGGTACGGAATACCGTACCATTACCGATTGGTACAAAAAATTTGGCATAAAATCGGTAAGGCACGGTTGGTAATTCGGTTGGCACGGTAATTTGGCAAAAAAATCCACCCCTAGACATAGCCATCTTTATAAGGTTGTGTGACTATCATGGAAAATTATACAAATACTCTTAATTCAATATTGATAAATCAATGGCCTACCAATTACTCCAATTGTGGACTAAATGTCTTGCAACAGTGATATGATTAAAAACACACCACAAAGTAGCACACAAATGTCCTATTGATTTTCCTTATTAACACTAAGATTTGTCAATTGTAGCATATGAAAATAAGGGTATTTCCCGCAGAAGATTGTTTTATCTAACTACTTAAAATATCACAAAAACTGGTTGATGTCCCTACTGACTAGCCACCGAAAAATAATTATTAGACCGACTTACACTAATCTAAAGTCTACAAAAATGATAGCCGACATTCACCTATTCATATGCATTCACCCATGAGCAGTAGGTCTCGGGTTCAAGACTTGGGAGCAGCCTCTCCGTAAATGGGGGTAAGGCTAGCCGACATTCACATCTCCCAGACCCTGCGTAAAGCGGGAGCCTTGTGCACTGGGTACGACCTTTATTGCTTTCATTGCAGTTACAAACTGCTCAGTCTCTAGTGAACCTTTAAGTGTTAAAATGGCCATAACTTCTTCTACAAAAATGATGCTAACAATCCGCAAAATGCTCCAGAAAATAAACATCCATAGCTTTCCAAGCATATAAGGCTCATTCTCTAATTCATTTTGAGCTGTTCACAACTTGCTTCCAAAGTCAGCTGACCTGCATAGGCAGTTTTGACGAATTTGTTACTTAAAATCCCACTTGTGCTTTTTCTTTTCTTTGCTTGACAAATCCTACAAAACACAAAAACAAAGTAAATAGCTCAAAAATATAAGGAACTAACTAAGAAAATAGAAGTGAATTTGATGTAAAATATATATAAATGTGAGCTTATCAAACAGTTTGGACATTCACAAATTACTTAGTTGGCTAATCACGGAAACTCCATGTCAATACCTCTTCTTTGTCTCTCTCAAAACTTAAATGTATGCTCTTCATGAGGACGGCCCGAAAAAACCAAGCAAAGAGAAAAATCAATAGTCGACGTGAGAGAAACTTCGTACTCTTGGAAATTTCTCCCCATATGAACGACAAACTAAGAATTTTAAGCAAAACCTGCATTGTCGGGACGGATGACTAAAACTGGTGTCTCATCAACAACCTTTCTAAGCAAAACCAGTAGAACAAACTTAGTGAAGGGAAAAAGAGTACACGAGCCAAAGCATTGGCATCTTTGGGATGCCTCACCTTAACTAGCACATGACTGGTTGCTTCCCCATCCGCATCAAGAACACCACCCTTGAAATATTTGGAATGGATATATGAAACCTTGTTTCCAATTTGATCCACCTGAAAATCACCTCTATATCTACAAGATGATTATCATGATTTTAGTTTTCTTGGTAATAACTTGTAGAAATCACCCTGGGGGTAGTGAAGATTGAATTTGATGAAGGAAAGTGTTATTCACACATTCATCTTTACCTTTCACAAATCCTTGTTAATTTTTTGCCAGTGATCTTCTTCAATTCATTCGATTTGATAGCCGAAAATTGAGAGGGGTGTGTGAGGAGTAAAAATAGATGTGTGAATAGCAGTACCATTTGATGCATCAATTGGAGAGAAGTGGAGAAGGGTTAAGTGAGTGTATGACAAGGGGGTTCATGGGTGAGAGGTAAGTTTCTCTCAATCAGAGTTTTAAGAAGTTGTAACTCCCACAATAAAAACATACTACAGTAAAACTTCTCTATAGTGACACTATAAAAAGAAACAACCTCCATGTAGTCATAAAAAATCTAGGTCCTAATTTGTCCCAGTTACATATAGAAATAAACTCCACATTGTAATTAGTTATAACTTTTTCAGTTCCGGTTACATATAGAAATAAACTCCACGTTGTAATTAGTTATAACTTTTTCAGTTTCGTCTTAAGAAGCTTGTCTCCATATAGTAATATTTGTCAATTAGTCCAAAAATATGCAATGCTACAAGGAGAAGGAAATGTATTCACTTGAATTGGTTGAAATTGCACTGGTTGTATTATATGTATTTATAAGATTTACTTAGAAAGGGAAGCATTCAAGAGAGCACTACATATGCACACATGCACCACTAGCGCTTTTAGAGATTAGGTATCTCTTTTTTTTCCAATGTTACATTTGAAGAAAGTTGAGCTTCCATCATAAAATTAATTGGCAATATAAGGAGTAGTCGAACTTACTTAGAAGCACATGCATGCAAGGTCCCTCCTTTCCCCGATGTTGAATTTGTACGATAAGAGGAAATTAATCCCGAACTTCTTTGTAATTATTGCATGTATTATAGGAATGTATTACCTTGCCCATATGTGGAAATGTTAGATTAGAAGAAATTAATCCCAAATCTTCTCCGTAAATGTATTATAAGAAAGTATTTTTCAATTGTAACTGGTGTAGGATTTCTACCTAAATAGGGATTGATATAACCCTATACATGTTGTAATACTTTCACACATAAATACAAGGAGTCATATTTTTTACAGGAATTCATACTCTCAAAACGTCTTCTCACGTGTGGCGAATTTTCAAGCTTGGCACGTGGACAACATAAATCGGGTGACATGGAGCATGTGTAGCCATTGAGCTTCACACATGCAAAATTGAGATTCCATCATAAAACTAATTGACAATATAGAAATTATCTCAACTTACTTATAAACACATACAAGATCTTTTTTTTTTCTCAACGTGAGATTCATGCTCTCAACAACATCTTGACATGCTCCACTTCTAATGTAGTTCACTTTTATTAAGGATAACTAAATCAATTATTTTAACTACATCTCTAATGAGTAATAACCTTTTATAATAATAAAATGAGTCTGACCTCAACATTATAGCTATATAAAAGTTTTACTGTAAATATATTTACGTATGGTCCATATTTTTTACTAAAATTGATACCACACTACTTAATTGAACACACATAGCAAACCACAAGTACTATATATAACCTTGGGCTCATTAACTTGTTTTCCACGTATGGAAAACTCGATGTAATTCAAAGTTACCACACGTTCAAAAGCACAAACAAGGCCAAAAACTACTTGCAGCAACTAATTCTTCCATGGGAAAAGAGAGCAACACCAGTTCCTAACTAGAA